AAAATCGAGACATTCTCTAGTATTGTGTATGTATAACAGAAGGAATAATATGCCTCTCAATCTGGCTTAAGATCTTCCTTTAGTTTCTTTTTCGTGGTCAATCCATTTCACTTCGTACATTCTGTTTTGTTATTTCAAAAGAAATTATCTCGTACTAGCAGAAATATTCTACAGACATCTAGGAAGCTGAACCTTGTTCCAGGGTGATGAGAAATTCAGAGAACAAAGCCATTAGATATACAAGATAAATAACAAATAGGGATCGTAAAAAAAGTAAGGAAAGAAGGCTGGAGATACTGGAAGACATTATTTACTCAGACTATAAACCCCTATTTTGGCTCCATGCTGTTGCCTAGAATTATATTTGATGGAGTCAAAATAGGGATTTGTAGTTTGAGTAAATAATGTCTACAGTATTTCCAGCCTTTTTTCCTTACATTTTTACAATCTCTATTTGCAGGTTTTTAAATTCCCATTTTTTATTTATCTTGTTTGCTGGCTATTTTTATGTTCAACTATGGGTAAAGGATTACTTGATATCATAGCTAACTATATATAGTAATGATAATAACCATAGCTAGTAACTAGCTGATACGGTTAATGATTTAATGTAACTATTGACTATTTGATCGCATTAGTTCGAGATGGAGAATGTTGTGCTACAAATGGAGATTATCATGGAGATTTCTTTGAAAATATAACGAGCATTTATAGTTCTTATGTAACTAAATTCTTTATACATAATGCATAACAATGGGCAAATATATGATTAGACATAGACACAACCCCGACTAAGCGCAAAAAAAAAATACCAGTAGAAAAGCAGCCTTTTTGAATAAAGCATATACGTTTAAAACATCGCTTTAAATAATCCTATGCGTCTTTTAAAGTAATCATTTTCGGAATGTGTATAGCAAAATTTAATATTATGTGTACTGATTTTATTTACTCGTTCATTTCTTATATAATATATGGGTTGACTCCCTAAAGACACCGATTGTATAGTGTACAAAACATTGAGTATTTACGTGTTACTGCCATCTAATGTTCATCTATTATTGGCTAGTAATTCATGTTTTACCCTGTACTTAAGCTTGATAAACTAACACGAGATATTTGTAGTAAAGGTAACTTCAAGGGATAATGGTAACACAGTTTACACGAGAATTATGATGTTTTTTAGCTTAATAAAAATATAGAAAAAACAAATCTCTTTTCAATAGTCCTACGACCTTCACAGTACATTATTTAGTATTTACAAGAGGTTTGGGTACATTACACCAAGCCGTTTTTTTTTGTAGGTTTTTCGAATATATGATAAAGATTTATGGTTAACACCAACAACAACCTAACACTTATTCAAACGATATGGTACTTTTTTCAGTCTTAAAGTTTCCGAATACCTTCTTTTGGGGCTATTTATTTGGAAATCACGTGAAATTTTTCTTTCATTTAATTTTCAGCTGCTAAAACATTCTCAGTTGATAATGTTGCACCTGTACGTTGATTCCATTGAATAATGTACGTCTTTAAACCCAGATTGTTATGAAACTGGTATCCATCCTGTTGCTGTTTCACAAATAATCGATTTACTGGTGTCCATCCTGTTGCTGTTTCACAAACAATCGATTTACTGGTGTCCATCCTGTTGCTGTTTCACAAATAATCGATTTACTGGTGTCCATCCTGTTGCTGTTTCACAAATAATCGATTTACTGGTGTCCATCCTGTTGCTGTTTCACAAA